AGAGATAGAAGATGGATGGATAGAAAGACAGATAGATTGATAAACAGAATTTCCTTCGGGATCAATAAAGAATCTCACTATCTATTTAGATGGACGGACAGATAGAGAGAGACAGAAAGATTGTACTCACTTGAATACACACACACACACACACACAGAGAGAGAGAGAGAGAGAGAGGACAATAATAACCTGGTGTCATTGTGTTGTGTGGACAGCCTCAGCCAATCAGAACACAGATACTCTGGGTGGAGGAAGTCCACCCACATGTCCACAGTTCACTGTGTTGTTCTAAAGGAGGAGCTCCTGTCACTCATCTGTGTTTACATCAGCTGAGACAAATCCACAGATCAAGAATCAATCATCTGATTTCATTTCAATCGTGTGTGTGTGTGTGCGTGTGTGTGTGCGTGTGTGTGTGTGTGCGTGCGTGTGCGCGTGTGTGCGTGCGCTCTGTCAGTAAACTCCAGATGAATAAAGGTTTGAATGCAGCTCGTCCTCCAGTTGAACTTGTGAGCAGGAGACGCAGCAGAGACTCGTGAGGACAGAAACAAAGATTCATATTTTTAGACTCAAACATCTCAATGATCCTTTAATCCAGAATCCCTGTGATGAACAGAGTCTCTGCTGCTTCCCATGACCTCGTCGTCCAAACGTCTCTGAGCCGAGTCATGCACATAAATATACACATCGAGGCTGGACCCACCTCCTGAAGGGTCCGGGGCCAATCAGGAGCTGTCGGACCTGCGTTACACACCAGAGTCATCGTTTCCACAGAAACCAGCGAGGACTGAAGATCGATCTGTTGATGATCAGATTAGAACTGATCCAGAAACTGTTTTTACTGTTTCATTCACTGAAACATCTTCAAAACCTTTTAAAGACTTTGTGACTGGTCAGAGCTAGAGTTAGAGCTAGAGCTAGAGCTAGAGCTAGAGTTAGAGTTAGAGCTAGAGTTAGAGCTAGAGCTAGAGCTAGAGTTAGAGCTAGAGCTAGAGCTAGAGCTAGAGCTAGAGTCAGAGCTAGAGTTAGAGCTAGAGCTAGAGCTAGAGCTAGAGTAAGAGCTAGAGCTAGAGCTAGAGCTAGAGTAAGAGCTAGAGCTAGAGCTAGAGCTAGAGCTAGAGTCAGAGCTAGAGTTAGAGCTAGAGCTAGAGCTAGAGCTAGAG